CAGTGCAAGGATGCTCAACGACAAAAGGAACTGAGTACAATGTACAAAACACTGGACAAAGAAGTGAAGAAGAGTGAACGCAAAGACAAAAGACACTTCTACGAAACACTGGCAAGTGAAGCAGAACAGGCTGCAGGTAAGAGTGACCTGACGACATTGTATCAAATAACCAGGTTACTATCTGGGAAGAGATCAATACAGATGAGACCAATAAAAGATGAAGAAGGAAATATAATTACCAGAGGAGAGAAACAAAGGAAACAATGGGCTGACCACTTCAAAAAGCTCTTGAATCGACCACCACCACCACCTGCACTTCGTCCAGAAATACCACCTGCAGTCCAGCCGCTGAACTACAAGTGAACATAAATCCCCCAACAAAAATGGAAGTCCTGAACGCCATAAAGCTACTGAAATATGGGAAAGCAGCAGGACCAGATGGAATCCCACAAGAAGCACTGAGAACAGACGCAGAGACAACAGTGGACATGCTCACACCACACCAATATTGCAGAAGGTGTGGAAGGAAGAGAAGGTACCCGGCGATTGGAAGAAGGGTTACCTTGTCAAACTGCCGAAGAAAGGAGACCTCAGTGTTTGCAAGAACTGGCGAGGAATCACTCTCCTGTCCACCCAATGCAAGCAAAATATTAAGGCGCATCATCCTGGAGAGACTAAAGGATGCACTGGATTCAAAACTACGACCGGAACAGGTTGGCTGGCTTCAGGAAGTACAAATCATGTGCAGACCAAATTGCGACGCTTCACATTATCATAGAACAGAGCGTAGAATGGCAATCAGCTCTCTACCTTTATCGACTTCGAGAAGGCCTTTGACAGCGTCGACCGAGAAGTAATTTGGAAACTGCTTCATTACTACAGAGTATCGCAAACCTTTATCCGCCTCATTCAACAACTATATGAAGACTCCACATGCCGGCCAAGTAATTCACAATCGGAAGCTCAGTGACGCTTCGAAGTCAAGACAGGAGTAAAACAAGGCTGCCTACTATCCCCCATGATATTCCTGATTGTGGTCAACTAGACTGGATCATGCAGCAAACAGTGGGCAGCGAGAAGAGGCGGATATGCTGGCTGGACTGCGGAAAACAACCTAGAAGACTTGGATTTCGCCAACGATGACTTGTGTCTGATGTCACACAAACTTGAAGATCTACAGGCAAAAACTAACAAGTTGACAGAAGAGGCAGCGAAGACGGGACTTCAAGTGAATATAGAGAAGACAGAAGTGATGAAGATACCGCACCACCACCACCACCAACAACAACAACAACAACAAACTCCAATCACCATCACCATGAACGGGAGAAACTTAAAGGAAGTAACCTCCTTCACCTATATAGGAAGCACTGTCTCAACTACAGGCGGGACAGACGAAGATGTCAAAGTCAGAACCGGAAAAGCAAGACAGGCCTTCATTAGCCTGAAACCAGTGTGGAGATCTTCTGCACTCAGCATGCGGAACAAGATACGGATTTTCAACACCAACGTCAAGTCAGTGCTTCTGTATGGTTCAGAGACTTGGCGCGTCACGAAAGGGATTTCCAACAAACTACACACATTCATCAACAACTGCTTACGCTGACTCGATACTGAAGATCAGATGGCCAGAAAGAATAAGCAACAAGCAGCTCTGGGAACGAACCAACCAAGAACCTATCACCCAACAAATATGCACTGGGAGGAAGTGGAGATGGATTGGGCATGCACTGAGAAGGCCGACTGGGGACATCACGCGTCAGGCCCTCGAGTGGGATCCCTATGGGAAGCGACGAGTTGGACGTCCGAGGGTGGCATGGAGTAGATCATGCGAGGAGGAAATGAGAGCTTGTGGGCTGTCGTGGGACCAGGTTCAGAAGATCTCAGAGAACAGAGGTCACTGGAGACGTGCTACTGAAGCCCTATGTTCCACTAGGAACCCAAGGGACTAATAATAATAATAATAAATAGATTATATGGATGATGTTCATCCAGATGACTTTGGAATTTACTTAGCACGTGCCACTTGAAATGGTTTTTAAAAAAAACACTCCCAGGTCACACAACTTCCAACCAGTGAACTAGAAGTTCCCAACTCAATCCACCAACCGAAATTTCATCATTCAGTTAGAATCACAGCTCATAAACAATAAGTGTAGCTTATCATCTAGTGTACAGACCTGTATATGAGGCTGTGATTTATGTACTTGACCTTCAACTGATGCATCACAGGCTTCAATCCTGCTCCACCTATCAAGATCTAGATAGTCAGGTAATATCATCAGGGTCACACAATAGATATGGCCCACTGCTTACTGCACAAACGTGCATATATCCCCTGAGTTACACTGCATATCGCATCTGTACTTCACAGCAGTTGATTTCATCTATCTATTACTTCAAACTCCAAATTAGTATGCACAACTTTAGACGTTTTTAATTAATCTACTTGAGATAAATTCAGTTAATTTCCATAAACATTATCATTCAAAACTCCATTGGTGAATGGTAGCAAGTTGAAGTAAACAAAATATCTGTGTATTCAATCAGTAGAACTTGACAATTATTATTATTGAATTTTGAGGGAGTTGTGGGGATTTAGAAATATTTCAAGTTGTTATTGTTATGATTTACCAACCCTCAATAGGACTAGACTAATATGGAGTCATTTTAATCATAACCAGTTAGAAAGGAAAAGATTAAATTTAGTTTTTTGTTTGTTTGTTTGTTCAAATACACCTAATGTTGTAACATCAAGCATCGTATTGAAGAATGTTGATTGTTCAACAGTCGTCTAATGACTGATCAGCTACCTCGTGTACATTCATTCAGTAGGCAATGAGAGACACTTATTGTCTGAGGGCTGGTTGCCGAGGCCTCGGTAGGTGGAGAAGTGCTCGAACCTGTGACTCATCGGTTGAAAATCAGCACCGGTCTCAAAAGACATTGTCGGAAACTGATACAACATATAGTGAGAAATCATTTATCAAGAGTTATGCTTATTAAGTAGTCTCTTTTGAACTTACATATCATTTTCAACAAAGGAATATACAAAATAAGGAGACAGAAAATCTGAAACAACAAATCATACATGTGAAGAACTGCATTACTCGCCAATAATTATCCAACAAAATTTCCCAATAAATGTATAAGGAAGTGGAAGAAAAATATGAATAGGAGTAATAACACAAATTCAGATAATAATAGCAAGATTATGCGAAGAGAATTTAAAACGTCTACAACATCCATCCATTCAAGGAAGGCACCTTAGAGACATTAAGCACGATTCTCGATAAGACTAGGAGTGGAGTGAAGTGGCATTTAAACCTAAAAATTCACTTAGAGGTTAGGTTAAAAGATACTATTCATCCAATTAAGCAGAATAATTTAGTTTACCAAACCTCTTTTGAGGTCAACTATATAGGTCAAATTAGTTGACCAGGACCAATTAAACTATCAAAGCAAAAAAAACGTAGCCTGGTAAGGCAACGAATCTACAAAAAAGCTGAGCTATAGCTCTGCACGCAGTTACACGCAATCACACAGTAGGGTGGGACAGAGCAACAGTATTAAAAACTTGGTTGGGTGGAGGGAGAAATTGATAACCGAGTCTCCGTTTATCGAATCAACACTGAACACATGCAATAGGAATGATTGTACGCCTGTCCCATATATACAGAAAATTCTACTACCCATTTCACAAAAGAGGCGAGGAAACTAGGACTGTATAAACCGGTTCTTAAAGTTGTGGAGTGTTATGTAGTATGTAGTACTGTTTTCCTGTGCAATACATCTGATAAAAACAAACTATAATGAGGTTAAAATCTACCAAGGTGCCCAATTTTTACTCTTATATTATACAGAACAGCATCTATTACTCTAACTCTGCACCCAGAACTCCACTAAGTAGTTGGACCTTAATCCACTGAAATATTTTTTAATCAGTTTACAAAATGTCAAAGAAAGTCACCGAGTAAGTGATAGAATCATCAATAACAGCTTTCTTGATCAAAATCAAAGGAGTTATGATGCAATAAGGAGGTTCAATGAATCGAAGCTACAATAAGCCTCAAAATTCTACTGCACCATGTTTCAGATAAATTAGCTTAATGACTAAACAATAAATTCTAACTGACAAAACTTAACCCTCAATAAAGTTAGTTAACATAGATTAGTATCATTGTCAACTGACACCTAAATAACGCCTGAATAACTCACATCCCTTAATTTTCGATATTTGAAGTGTTATGATAACTTAGTTTTCAGTTAGTGAACACCTGGCTCCCAATCGCACTGATTTATTTATTGAATCACAGTTTAATTGTAATGTAACAGAGCACCTATGAAGAATAGTACACCGGCTAACAAACTAATACATATATATACACAAAAAACAGTAACAATAATTACAACGCCAAGAGTACCAATGAAGTAGAGTAGATGAAAGCGATAAACCCATAGAATGATATTGTACTGAAATACTCATTAGCTATAAGATAAAGAATGAGTATATCTTTATGACTCAATCGGCTACTCATGATGATGGTAGTTTTATCATGCAATCAAACCAATAGTGTAGAGTTCCCTGTACAGCCTAAAATTGATTTCCAGAACCCCCCCCCAAGCTATCTTTGTCCTGCTTCCATCTGTACAACAAGGTGTTTGCTGGATATGAGCAAGATATTAACTAAGTTGCTTATCCGATAAAATGGTACTGAAATCAATATTGAGCATTCAGTAGTTCTAACATGAGCGTATGATGACTTAAACATGCTAGTACACATCAATCATTTTCAGCTGAACAGAACATGGAGAACTACCTGAATAATAATAACAGAGTGGTTCCAATGTAAGTATCTATACACCATGTATTACTCACAGTCTAGTAGTCAGACTTATTACTTTTTAAAAACGCATTAATTAATGAATATAAAGCCAAGACGTAATGTCGATTGGAAGAAAATACAACAAAATAATCGTATAAACAACAAGTACCCTACCTGAAAAAATCCTAAAATACCATTCTCTCGATAAATTGCCTGTATAGCCATAGGAAACCATTTGTATTGAGTTTCATTGCCGATAAGTGCTGCAATCTGTCTTATAGTAATAACTGAATATATGATTATTGAAAGAATGAAAAATATACACAAATAAATCAGATTAAAAATAAACAGAGAGTAGAATATTCTATAGTACACTTTAAATAATTGTTAATCAACTTATTAGTACTAAGGATATTAGACTTAACTGTCTACAATAAGTCTGTTTATCAGTGAGACGGTTAGTGTAGTAAATAATCATGGGTATATTCCTGATGATTACAATTTAACAATCGATAAAAAGCATAAATTTTCTTTCATATTATACTAAGACACTTTGTTCAATTTTGTTGATGTTGTCAAGTGAACATTATACACAACCGATGCCGACACTTGTATATAATATTATTTGGTCTGAAATAAGTTTATAAGGGAAAAACTTCAGTGTTTAGATCAGAATATGAGAATAAATTATGCAATTAATAAGTAAAGGCAGGATGTAAGTGAAGATCTGTTGTTAGTCTGTTAGCTATAGTCTGGAAAAAACCAATAGAAATAATTTACTTTAACACTATTGAACGGAATTCAATAGAATAGGACCAAAATGTTCCTTGTTCAATGTAACAAGATGTTCATTGTATACACAATTTGAAGAATGATACCGTAAATTTTAATTGATTGATGATTTACAACCGTACAAAAGGGATATATTATATAAAATAATAAATCCTTAAAAATTCTCATAACAATTCAAAAGTCATTTAGATAAACAAATAATATTCTTTTTTCATAACTTCTCCAGGTCATATACTTACATGTATATACGGAGGAATTACACACCGACAATATTGAAATTTTACTTATCAGTTTGTTAGTAATATTATTATACACTTGAGGAAATGAACTGAGAAAAGTCTCTTGTGAACATTAATGGCAATCGAATCAATTGTTACTAGGATTCAATTCATCATTGTAATTGATTTTCTAAGTGATTATACTATGTAGGTAATAGAAAGGTGTTCGTGATACTTGCATAAAATAAACTAAGAATGATAATTTGAAGAATAATCGCTTGGCAGAATGTTACCCACATTGGGGGACAGAATAGGTTAAGAGAATGCGTTAAAATCATTTCAGGTTATAGGGATGAAGGGAGTATCTACGATATGGAATTAGATTGTCTGCAGTAGGATGCTAGTTGATGAATTTCTGCATCCCAAATCGAGACACAGTAGTTGTAGAAGCATCACTTGCTTCCTTTGAACACACAACTCGAGTCATTTAATCCTGATTGGTACTGTTTTTGCAGTTTGAAGAATCCTGAACTGGCTACCTTTTGGCAAGTTGATAGGAACGCGGTACAGAATGGAAAACGACTCATTCATATCTATTTAATGGTTTGTTTTAACCATATGTGCTAATATGGATCTTTAATAAACCTTTACTTGATCATACTAAAAGCAGTTCGTGAGTACCGATAATGAGAATTTTTAATGAGTTGAAAAGTTGTGAGTAATCCATTGCGTTGAAATTTGTTAATGAGTTCTTGAAGTATAACGCTAAACCCATACAAGCGAAGACTACATTAGATTTTATAAATGAGTGCATTGTGTTGAATCGCTATCCGAAATTGTTTTACAAGTCATTGCGTCTCAGTAGAGTTCAACCCAACTCTGAAACACTGAAAAGATATGACTTAAATCAGATCGACTCTTTTCGTACATCCTTCGAAGACAATATACTGTGAATGAGCTTCCAGGCTATCTAAAATGTCACTTTATGAAATATATCTGGCAAGTTACTGGAAGAAAAGCAGCGAAAAAACTCATTGAACTCAAAAAGGGCTTGACGCTCAAGCAGTTGTTATCAAATTCTCAACGGATCCGAAGAGATACCGTTGTCTTAGATATGGTGTAACTTGAAGTACTGTCTCTAGACGAAACCACATCAATCATATAGAAACACAATTCGTAAAGCTAAACAGTCAGATAGCTGATCCAGTGCCATCATCCAGTTTAGAATTAGAACGTTTCAAATCTAATCTGGTTGATTGTTGCTACCAGTTTAAGAGAAGTAAACATAACTGTAAAAGTATTTTAGCTAAGAAAAAACACAGAGAGCCTATTAAAAAACTGGATAATAATGAGAAACTATCAATTACTAGGTCTGATAAAGGAACAGGAGTAGTTCTCCGTAAATGTGATTACATAAGCAAGATGAATGAAATACTGAATGGTAAGATGAAATTTCAGAAATCGAATGTTTAGAATGACCTAAATGATAAAATAGAAAGAGAATTAACTAAATCTCTGAAAAAACTGGTACAGTAACATACTATATCACCTAGCATGTATGGTGCCATGAAACCCACAGGCACTCATGTTCCAAAACTGTATGGTCTGCCTAAGATATACAAACCAGGAGTGCAGTTAAGACCAACTCTTGATATGCGAAACTCTGTTTATCATGCTCTAGCAAAATGGCTGATCACTATTCTCTAACCTTCAAGCAAACAGCTAGTAAAAAATAGTGTGAAAGAAGTATTTAAATTTATGGACAGAATTAAGGATACTAACATCATGAATAAAACTATGGTGTCATTGGATGACATTTCTATTCATCAGTCGTCTTCTACTCTAGACAGGTGAACAGCTGGAAGAAAAGTCTATCAATGTTAGAACTGCGATAAATATTCTCAAAGAATTATTGTTCAAATGTACGATGAATGCTAACTTTAAATTTAACGGTGAACAATGCAGACAAGTGGATGGAGTCGCAATAGACTCACTACTGGATCCCAATATTAGCGGATCTTCTTTATCGAATGATTTGTTTGAACAATCTACTACAGACCTATCATTTTAATGTCCATATATGAATGATATATTCACCCTGTGCAAAAATAGCATGAACAGATCAAAGCTGCTCTGCAGATTCAGCGTGGTACACCCAGCAATGAAGCTTATATGTGAGGAAGAGTCAGAAAGCAAGATAACTCTTCTCCATGTTCTTCTCTAAAGACAAACAGATGGGTCGATAAAGAGAAATTTGTTTATAAAAAGTATGCGGATGAGGCAATACACACGTTTTCTCAGTTTCGTCCCCCTTCAGTACAAAAGAAATTTAGTAAGAAATTCAAGTTACAGAATAAACGTTATTGCTCGGGAAATACGTTTGAGAAGGAACTGACGACTTTGAGAAACACACTAATCAAAAATGGTTATACTGATAAGTTCGTAAATAAACCTATAATTACAAAAATGGCAAGAAAGGATGTTCCAAAGGCTAGAAGAAAACCGTTTTACATTCGGGTACAATTTAGAAGTGACGTGCCTAGGGATATATTGATTCAAAAACTAAGCAGATTAATTCATAAAACTTTTAATGCTGGTGAATGACAAATTCCGTTCTCCACACGCCCAACGATGACACCAAGACTGAAAGATCAATTGTTTAGACTTGCCACTTCCTGTTGTGTTTATCAGTCCGACTGCTCCTGAGGAACCAGTTACGTGGGCCGCAGCTCTATGAATTTAATTTTTCAAGCTCATGAACACCTCCCAGAATGGTTAGGTAAAGGTTTGGTAAAGATCATCACCAGCTCCATATTAACACATGGTTGAAACAAACCATTAAATGGATATGAATGAGTCGTTTTCCATTCTGTACCGCGTTCCTATCAACTTGCCAAAAGGTAGCCAGTTCAGGATTCTTCAAACTGCAAAAACAGTACCAATCAGGATTAAATGACTCGAGTTGTGTGTTCAAAGGAAGCAAGTGATGCTTCTACAACTACTGTATCTCGATTCAGGACGTACAAATTCATTAACTATTAAAAGGAAAATAAATTACACTTCCTACATATACTACTAATTAGAAACGTGGACAACTCAGCCAGCGGAAGTGTGACTAACTGACAAAACCAACGTACAACCTTGCACACACATGCATCGGCTTAAGTTGCCACACTTCACAATAGTATACAAAGAACAGGTGGATAGAAAAAGACTCACGCCAAAGTAGACGAAGTTGTGTGAGACAACACACAATTTGAAGGTAACGGTTAGTGAAAATATCCAAGCTACAGAAGACAATTATGAGTGAATAGTTCTGCGCCACTGAGACCGATTTCGAACTATGCCCTCAACAGTACTCAATCACTGATTCCTTTCTTCTCAGGGGCTAGCTAGGTAATCTACACCTCTTCACATGGCTCATACCAATAGTCAGGGACCTCGTCGACTGGTACCACGTATTGGTCTGGCCACCGTCAACCCTATTCCAACCTAATTCAGTTTCCCTTAGCATAGTATGATAGGCGGCGGCTCGGCATGAACAGTACATGTCCAACCCATCTCAGTTGTCCAAGGTCCATCACTTCATCAGTCGACATGCTTGCCTTGCCGCCCAGTACCCTTCATCTGACCTCATCACTGTTCACATGATGATTCCACCAAACACGAGTAATGCTAGGAAGACACCTGTGACCAAGACTCTGTAATCGCATCATGTTTTCTCCTTTTAACAGCCATGTCTCACAGCCGTATAACAGGACAGAACAGACTTCAGCGCAGTATACTCATCCTTTAATAGATAGTCGGATATCTCGCCAGTCGGCGTTACAGGTGATGCAAGTTAGCAAGTGCCAAACGGGCCTTCCGTATCCGAACTGAGATTTCGTCAGCAACCACCCCATTCGAGCTGATGCAACTCCCCACTTCATCGTTTATAGATAACTAAAGCTATACAAGTTCGAGTAAATAATCCTCAGGTTTCAACTCACTTCGACTAGAAAAGACTCATTGACTAACTTCACACTCAAACACTTTGTTGTCTCTCACCTCTTTTACGTGTCTATTATACTTATATCTTCTTCATCTTATTGTGCAACACAAATAACATAATCTCACCGGCTCAACCATGTACAGGCTTATGGCACCAAGCTATGAGCCACAACCATTGTTTACCCAGTTACTTAGGTCGAAGTAGGTGGAGTGGGATTTAAAACCGTAATACACCGCCTGAAAGTTGAATATTTAAGCTAATAAGTCATATTCGTGAAGCTCTTTACCTACTTTAACTGTTGAAATGTCTATATTATTATTGTTATCAACATTATTTTTACCATTATTATTATTATTATTAGCAAATGCACAGTTTAAAGCCCCTCATTAATTAGTTGGTACACTAAGGTCCATTCTGAGGGGGACCTAACCAAAACCAATATTGTATCCATATATATGTTGCCTTTTGGGTGATTTTGAAATTTGTCCTATAATAAGAGGATATTAATTAAAAACTGTAGTACACATGAAAAGACACATTCAATTACTTGAAAAACAAATCAAATTATACAAACTCATACCATAAAATGGATGACTGAATAACACCTCCCAAATTTTAAGTAGTACAACCTCAGAGAATCTTTCGAAGAAAACTGAAAGTCTTGACTCCTCCAAAAGTCGTTCCGCTTGAAATCCTTTCAAAGCTTGATGTTGTACACCACGAATTCTGGGTCTTTTATAGGCCAACTTATTTTCTGATCGCATCCATATCATAGTTCGACGCTTAAATGCTGCGCGAAAAATTTCAATTGTAAAATCATGAGTAGCGTTTGCAAAAAATCCTGTTGTCAAAACCTTCCAAACACCTATCGTTCTCATCAGATGGTAAACGTACTTAAAAAATTGGGATAAACATATACCGGAGATGAGAAACCAAGTAGAGCTAAAGGTGAATGGAATTGGACCGGAGCAAGTGGTTCATAGCCTAATTTTATCAGTGTCCATGCAACACGAAACGGATTGGTCAATTGTCTTAGAAGGTAAACTTCAATGCCAATAATAGGTTGCTCTTCCATATATGATACAACTGCAGGAGATCCATCCCAGGAAAATAACTCGCCAATATTACTATCAATCATTAAAATCTAGCCGATAAAAGAAAACATAAATTATACACTGTTAGGATGATACGTAAACATTTGTCCACAGGAAAGAAAACATAAGAATTATAGATGTTAGGTGCACTTGTAGATAAATTATTTAATAATTGTAAAAATTTACAGAAAGCAATCTAAGCTAAGCATTTTCATGGCGAAGACTCAATGTACAACGAGTTTTTTTGCGAAAAACAAACATGGCAGACAAGTTTCAAGATTTTCATTTCCTTTTTTTTTAACACAAATTTATTAGTAAATAGGATGTAAGAAATAAAACACAAGTCCAGGTTACAATAACTAGACTTTCACCTCTCAAACACACGAACGCTTATCAATACACCCACTGACAATATCCCTTGACCTGAAATCTTGAGCTGATGAATTTTATCTGCACAATTAACACTTCTACGTTACTCGTACATGGCAAGATTAATTCTCCGTGAGTATCTAAAAAGTAAGATGGGCTAACATTGTTAGATGCCTCGTTACTGCATCCACATAGGAACCCATCTGCCAACAGAGGTCGAGTAATTCGACTTAATATGGCAGCGTGAAAACGCAAGCATCAGTAAAAAAACAACTGATACCCGTTGCACGAGGTAGCTCTAGTCCTCAAGTGGCCCAGTGGATAACGATTTAACGCCTGAAGTGAAGAGTACTAGGTTTGAGTCTCACTGACTGAGATGCAGGTACATACAGCTGAAGATTCCTAAATAGGATGAAAGGCGCGGCCTGAATTCCACTGCGAGTCGGCAAGATAGGCTGACATTGGTTACTTTGTCAATTTGAGAGGGTACCAGGAAGGTTTTATCATATTTTTGGTATTTATTTTATCACAGCATAAAACTGATACAACATAAGAGAGGGGTGTGGAACAAAAAGGGGCATCTGCCTCATATAAGTTAACCCAGCACTTTTAAAAGTATTTGCTTTAGATTTTATTGGATTGGTTGCATATTGTAAAACAATCCACTGTCTGTACCAAAATTTTATGGAGTAAAGTGTGTTGTTTTTAGGGTGGAATTTTAATTCTTATCCTTTGAACAACTAGAAAGCAACACTAACTGGAAATCGTAACTATTCTTGGAAAGTCATTTAGCAGTACAACTTTATCCTCGAACTTAAATTAACTCCATTTGGTGTTGCTAATATACAGCTAAATGTTTCGGCATGTTAGGAACTCTAGTAACAAGTGTTTACGTCAGTATAGCTTGAATTGATCATTATGATAACCAAATCCAACCACCAGAGTAAACTAGCAGCTACCGTCAGAAAGTTGGTTTTATGTTAGTCATCGTTCGTTAAGAGTACAGAGAACCTGTTACATTGAAGACTGCCGAGAAACTCACGTAGTCATATAGAGGTTTATAGAGAGCTATCTTAAGTGATATCCTTCATGAATGTTCATTATTACCACTCCTGATAAAATTCATTAGATATGCTCTTGACATTCCAAAGCCTTGTCTTCTACTCGACAATACGGTCGTAGACAATCAACTGTGCCTGAAACATCAAATGAATCATACAGCATCATCATATGTCATAAATTAGGAAAAAACTAATACATAGACCTAATTTTGTAACGCGAAGACGGTGACAAAATAACCTCTACTGAACTTCCATGGAAATCCTTGAAATTTATTTTTGAATTTCGAAATGTGTGATGTTATAAGGTAGGTGTGTGCCGATACCTTATCTAAGAATAACGAGTACAACGGTTGAGTGAGTTGAAAACCACACTTATTCAGAGCCAAACCGACCTCGGTGAGTTGAAGGTGGGAGAAGTCTCAAAATAGATGCAAAAAGCTAATTTGGTTTGTTAGTTGATGAGTATACTACATACCAGTCAGTTTAATCCCACTGTTGGGATGTGAAACATGGTTTCTTAAAACAAAAATTAACTTGGAGATGAATCATTCACATGTAGTGAAACCACACAATAATTCGAAGAACTAAGTCGTTTGATAGCGTTTCGCACCTCAATAAGCTGATATAAAAGGGGTGTAACATATATCTTTGATCACAGAATACCTTCATACGTTATATAAGTAGAAGTGAAAAGGAACTTTGAGGCAATGTGTGATCAACGAACTGAACAGTGGAGAATATTTGTAGCTCGCGTGGGTGGTCCTGGTTGTATTATGTTCTCTGAGCTGGGTTGTTTAATCGTGAAGCTTTCATTGCCTTCCTAGACGACATCATCAGCACTAACTTCAGTATGAAGTGAGCTGTCAATATCTCTCCGTGAGTGATTTAGTAGCTTCCTCTGACGATGTGGTCTGTGATTGGTTGTTTCCTTCGATTGTTGTGTCATTGATTGTATAGATTTTCCTGTTGACTGTTCCTCTGCTTCACCCCTGACCTTTCTGTCGTTTATCATTTTTCTTATTGGTTGATAGATCGGGTCTATGTCTATACATCTGTTGATTGCTGACTGACCTGAATGCCAAGCTTCTAGAAATCTTCTGATATTCTTTGTGTCTCTTCTCTCCGTCCAAAATTTCTACATTGTTAAAATTGAATTCATGCCCATAATTATCCACGTGCATTGAAATGAGTGACGAAATGTCGTGGCGTGGTTTTCTATGATAATGCTTTTGATCTTTTCTAAGAATTCCGTTGGTGACTTGATGGAATGTCCGCATGATTGGACGAGGTGTTTCAGTTTTCTCGAAAGTTCTCTTGATATCCTTCGATGTCACAGCACTATACACATCCATCGAACCTCAACTGGCCAAGGAAACGATATCCCTTCTGATCAATGAAGACAAAAACCTTTTAGAACGCACAAAATTCAAATGTTCAAGTCTGATGGAACTCACGGACCTTTGTATGACAACATATTTCCAATTCAACGGCAAGATATACAAACAGATGAAAGGAACTCCAATGGGATCACCGATATCCGGATTAATTGCAGAAGCAGTGATGCACAGACTGGAAGCCATCATCCTACCTGTGATCAAACCAAAAATTTGGATTCGTTATGTAGACGACACTTATGTCATCATTAAAAAGGATGATATAGAAAACACCCACAGTTTGATCAACAACTTTTTCAATGACATCAAATTCACAATGGAGAAAGAGTCAAACAACCAACTAACATTCCTGGATGTTTTAGTCAGTAGGACAAATGCCGGAAAGCTGGAAACCCAAGTGTACAGGAAGCCAACACACACCGACCAAATCCTCAATTACAATAGCAACAACCCAACGACACAAAAAGTCAGTTGTGTGCAGACTCTATTTAAAAGAGCAAGAACACACTGCAGCACAACAACTTCACGGAGAAACAAAGAAAATCACTTGATGTAAACCCTAAAGAAGGACGGCTACCCACGAAACTTTATCATCAGAAGATGCCTATCCCGTGCATCACCAACTACAAAGTCATCGACAAAAATCAACAAACGCATCGTCCTACCATACATAAAGACTATACCTACCAGAAATCACAACAAGATTGCTGAGACCACTTGGAATTGGTGTGGCTCATAAACCAACAAATTCCCTCCAAACACTATTATGCAGACCAAAGGATGCAACAAGCAAAGAAGACAAACCGAATATCATTTACAAGATCAACTGCAATAACTGTAGTCAGCACTACATTGGACAAACCGGCCGCCCTCTTCGCATTCGTCTACATGAGCACCAATTGGCTATCAAACACCACGACATTTCGTCACTCATTTCAATGCACGTGGATAATTATGGGCATGAATTCAGTTTTAACAATGTAGAAATTTTGGACGGAGAGAAGAGACACAAAGAATATCAGAGGATTTCTAGAAGCTTGGCATTCAGGTCAGTCAGCAATCAACAGATGTATAGACATAGACCCGATCTATCAACCAATAAGAAAAATGATAAACGACAGAAAGGTCAGGGGTGAAGCAGAGGAACAGTCAACAGGAAAATCTATACAATCAATGACACAACAATCGAAGGAAACAACCAATCACAGACCACATCGTCAGAGGAAGCTACTAAATCACTCACGGAGAGATATTGACAGCTCACTTCATACTGAAGTTAGTGCTGATGATGTCGTCTAGGAAGGCAATGAAAGCTTCACGATTAAACAACCCAGCTCAGAGAACACAATACAACCAAGACTGTTTCTGTGTATCCTTGATGTTAGTTGCGGGGAGAAACGAGTGACTTTCAAAGCAAAATTGTAAGAGATGATCACTATTGTTGGTAAAGGATACCGCAGATGCCTTGCTGATTGATTCAACTTACCCACTTGAGTGATGAAGTTGTCTGTCATTACGATCATATCTAGATGTTTGACTTAATGTAATGAAATTGACAACTTTTGGTGGAAGTCATCCCTTGTATGACCCGAACTGCATTTGGTGAAGGGTGTCGGTCGAGACTATAAAAAGACATATACGAAAGTCATGGTCTCTTTCAGTCCTTACAGATCCGTTTAGTCAAGCACCTTATAGTTGGCTATTGACTGGCATCCAGTTGAGAAGCACCCGTTTTGCCAGAGAACTCAATGCTATACCTATAGGAATGAGTTTACAAGACCTACCCTTTTAATTTCGCAGATTCATCACATCGGCTAATTGATTTTCAGTAAATAACCACACTTGGACATTGTATACATATCTTAGAAACACAACATGAATCCATAGTCCAAAATCCCACATTTTTGGCAAGAGATACCTGTTGTCTGAATCGGTATAGAGTTCAGACGTTCAAATCTCCGATCTGAAATTGTCAGAGTGGTTTCAGGAAACTAGGAATGGTATTATGCTGGATTAGATTACTAGCAGAGGTCAAAGGATGAGAAGTTAAATAAATTATGAGGAGCCAAATTTTAGTATCGGGAAATGATGCCAAAGGAGGAGACAGAGACGAATAAAGTAGGTTATGGTTGGTTGAGTTTTGTATGCTTCCGGAAGAGTCCAGGTGGTTGTCACTTCCCAATTGTCTACATAGGGGACATTCAATTTCTGTCGAAGTATCACATAATAAAAACTGTATTAATAACGGCGGTATATGATGGAAGAACCCAAGAGACAACTGCTTGCTACCGGTCAAACATAAATCCTTGGATGTTTGAGGTTTAAGTTTGTTCGTTTTGTATTGTTAGAAAACCATACTACCGAGACTGGAATACGACAAAGCAAGACGGGGGGGAACCTTTTCTAAAGCTCCCTTCTCATAAGGGAAAGCAGTATCAGTATGGAATCCTAGTCCTCCGCAAGACACCGTACTGCTGTTACGCCGATTGACGCAGCAGTACGACTTCGTCTTCACAATCCTATGGTGGTGCAGCCATTCTCACTAGAATAGTACTTGTGTAGCTTCACACATATCTCCAGAATCAATAGCCTGGGGTTTGATGAGATTCAACATTGATACTGACCTTGACAGTTTTACCGGACTCGCTAAGCTGAAGGTACCCAGTTAAGCATCCTCGCGATTTGGTACGCTGTCGTGTTACGTTGGACTGCTCGTAATCGACTCTTTAGCCAGTTAGTTGGAACCAACCGGTATCTTGTTACGACCTCGCAAATATTCTATTCCATCTGACTACGCTATTGTTCTTTCTTGGCCTCGTATTCGTGGGTATATAACAAGTTCAAATAATTAGTGATTGGCCTCTGCATCTGTCACGTTCGTATCAGGACAATTCCTAAACTTGCTTTTTACCTTACCACCATTCAACAGATTTTTCTGGAATGGTAGGAACACAAGAAAAAATGTTCCCACCAACAGCGCGCTAGATCATTGTGACATATAAGCCTAACCACTATGTCACAAAGGCTGAACTGATCACTGCAAGAAGCATATTTACAGTTTTTCCGTGAATTCTTTCCATCAAGTCTCAATCAACTTTTGCCAGAGCTTTGTTGCTTGTACGCAGTTTTGAAGTTCGGAGCGAACTAAGGCTGTGTATAGTGGATGTTCTAGTTACCACCAATGAAATTCCGAAGCTTCAGATTGAACTATAGTATGTTGAGGTTTTCGATTCGTGACGCCAAGAACACTGTGAACTAAAAGAGACAGTAGAGAAATTCCAGTAATACTCCATGTGCTATCACTTACATAGCTCTCGATATTTAAGGGTTGTCTAGATACTCACCCTTAAAAACGTTTTAGTCTATTATTCCTTCATTCTTTATTAAAAAGGATAGTAAGCTATTAGCCTATGTAAACCCATGCAGTAATTATTTCTGTCAAGATCAAGTTTTTCCTCGAATATGTTGACCGAGGGAGTTGCTACTACTTGTTCCTGAAGACAAAATAAACTGTAGTATTACTTTAATACCACTACATCCAGACGTTGGTCATTCACAATAATGTCAGACCTTCATGAGTCGAATGTATCAGTAATCTTAATATATGCATTTGAAAGGCTGTGAATATTAATTTGTTTTCTTACTCAAAGAGGTTTTCGAATCTTCGTTACACACGTTTCTAGATTCGTGAAAAACCCATAATCGAAGGCCTTGAATATCATTTTACTTTAGTGTAGAAATTGAGTACGCAGTACTAGCCTTCGTGACCGGGGGCAAAACAGATAGGGGCTAGCATGTGAAAGTGAATAAATCGGGAGTCAGTATTAACAAAATGGCTTTTACCCTTGTTTCCCCGGGTAGAAACGACCACTGTCCCGCTTGCTGATCCTTATCATGTGCTAATGAAGAGGAGAAGCACATGTCAGTATGGGGCCGATATGAGATCAATGTTATGCCAGATGGATATTAAAAATGAAAGTATTGAAAGACTTTATCTTCATCACAGTATTACCGAGAAGTTAGCTCGGTTTAGCATAGTGAAAATCCTCCACGCAAGGATCTTCCGATTCCTATACTTGTTTGGTGTGTGGATATGTGAACGATTAAGGATGTTACTTCGATTGACTTATGGCATGATATAGGTTGTTCAGTATAAAAGGTCTGGGAAAGATTTTAGAATATATTCGTGTAACAACTACCTTTAGTCCTTGGTCTAATGGGAGATCACCTTGGGTCAACAGATAAAATCAAAAGTTATTAAAGAAAGAAAACGTCTATGGGCATTCATAGAGACAGAAAGTAAAACATCTAGGCTGGAATACTGTAAGGTTATAGAAATGTAAATTTATCATCAATGTAAATCGCATGAAATACAAAACGTTGTTAATGGGTGATTTTCTAAGCTTTCTGAAACGGCTTTTCTCTTATATTAACAAGACTAGAAGTGAGATGTCTGTCACAATACTATATGATGGAGTGAAGGACGTAGCGGAATGCGATCTGGCTAAAGCAGGTAGTTCATTTAATTATAGCCTATTGTTTTATGCTGATAAACTTAGTGGGATTCTGTACGCTGATACTGTTACGAAGTTAAATTCTAATGAGACTTATTCAAATCACCCAGACAGTCCTCCAACTGCTCAGAAACCTAAAGCCTGAAAAGTCACTGACTTTAAAACTCTATTGCTTTTGATCGACTTTATTAATTCATCATTAACTGTGTTTTTCAACAGGTTCTTTATCAAGCATAGCTCTCTAAGGATTGCAAGGATGCTACAACTAGTCTTGCGTTTGGGAGAGGTAATAGACTAGTCACCAACTACCAACCTGTTAGTCTTAATGGAATACCGGTTAAGATAGTGGAGTAAATACCAAACCCGGACTAAAGAATATTTTCACGAGAAAATATAAAGAATAAGGGTGAGTGGAACACTATTTGAATGGCAGCCTGTCAGCAGTGGTGTTCCTCAGAGAACTATCTCTAGACCACTACCCTTCTTCCTCTACGTTAAGGTACCAAAAATACTCAAGCCATCGTCATTACCATTCGTAGATGACATCAAGATATGGAGGATTACTCATGATGATGGGTTTCAACTCTAAGCTAAACGTGATGGACTGGTCTAACAGTCTAAACAATAGAGCCTGAAAATCAGTTCCAGTAATTCAGGTTAGGTACATAGAGTGACTGCTCTGGTGATTACTGAGCGGTCTACCAAGACCCTGGATTTCGAAACAAAAAGATATGGATGACCATAATTCACGAGTTAAAGATGACTTTGAATTATAATGCGTTTGTAGTTAGTGTTTCGTATGCTTCGGGAGCTACGGAGAACATTAAAATGCACTGATGGTATTTCCAGGACTCCACATCCCACTTATTTCAGGCCTTACTTGAAGCGTCGTATTCAAGTAGCTAGTTTATGCTTTTGAAAGAAAGCTGATATATTAGAAGAGGTCTAAAAGGTTCGCACGAAATTAGTTACAGGACTTGACCAACTTCCCTATGAGGGAGATTAGAAAGGTAAGACCTCTCCCTCATCCTACCATAGGAAGAAGTGATTTAATTTTAGCTGCTTGCACCTCGATTAATGACTTAGGTGTTGATTTATCTAGTTTTGCTACTTCTAGGAATGATCACTTTAGAAGCTAACAATTGTTTTTAGGCCCAAAAGCCGTAGTCGAATCATCTTCGGATGGAGCACTACTTCTCCAAGAGTGTTCAGTAACTAAAGCTTGTTACCAGAACAACTGACAGCAGCTCCTACAGGGAAAACAACAGAGAAAAACATGTCTTCGCAGCGAAAAAAATTGCAAGGATTAAGACAAGCTAGTAGCTCATTATCGTTTTCACTGAAGACTGATGAAAGACTTTGCAAAACGGTATGTTACTAAGATGCACCATTGAACACAAAATTTAAAGCATACAAACACAAAATCTTACTGTCGAAACAAGATCGTATCTCACCTCGGGATTACAGAATAACGCTTTAAATCTACCGGCAATCAAACAGCAGTGCTGATTGGTCCAAAAGTACTCGTTGTTTGTTTTAACTTATTTCCAAGTAGAACTAGTGCATGTAGGTCACGCACTGATGACCTTCATTTCTCAGTCAGTCATGGTAAATGGATATTGCATTCGAGCTTGCTCATGAGGCACTGAGATGTAATGAGGTACCAGTAGGATGTGCATTTGTCTTTGAAGGAAATGTGATTGCTACGGGTCGAAATGAAGTAATAGCCCTTTATAACCTACTCGTTACTCCTAGGTGAATGCAACTAGAGATGCTACCCAGCATGCTGAAATGGTAACAATAAAGCGTTTGGAAAAGTGGTGTAAAGAACATGACAAGGAATTTGAGAAAGTGCTAGGTGGATGTGAGCTGTATGTTACGGTAGAACCTTGTATAATGTGTGCAGCGGCTCTACGTTATTGTCTTCCAGCCCATCTAAAGAGGTATTAACTTCCATTTTGACTTTCTCCATGACTAGTATTACATATGGTGCCCGCAACGAACGCTTCGGTGGGTGTGGTTCAGTCCTAAATGTGCATAATGCTCCTAGTGAGGTCGCTCCGCTAAACTGCATACCCGGAGTTGATGCCGAGAAAGCCGTTAAATTACTAAAACAGTTTTATACACAAGAAAACGAAAATGCCCCAGAAGAAATTCGAAAGCGCAAGCGTGTATCTGAACCTCTAGTTGATTTAATTTCCTAAGTCGACGGACAATGATGATTTTGACAAATGCTAATTAAATTATTAGTACCATTTACCTCAGGATGTATTCTTTTTATACTCCTTGATGATGTTTTCAGGTCACTTCTTGAGTAACAATTAGTGATTGACTATTTATGGATAATTTCTGTGGTCCTCATGAGTCGATTTAGCTGACCAGATGTCCTTGTCAAAACTAGAGACCCAGTTTCTTATTGTAACTATCAATCGGTAAATATGCTCTGCTTGAGAACTCTACATCAAAACTCATTGTGAAAGATGAATTTCATTTCTCTATGAGCTTTGGTATTGTAAAAGGGGAAAGTACTACAAGTGAAATAAGTAAGAAAAAAAACTGATAACATTTTATTTCATCCGATAGCAATATAAAGGGGATGAAGTTTTTTAGGACAGCTTAACGTAGGTACATTCTAACTCTATCGCCAGTACATAAATGTATAAATGGAATATCCATGCCTGCAAGGTATATCCAGTTGTTAATTTCAACTCAGATTGATTCTATCGGCTAAATATTATGCTTCGTATGATTCTCAGGACAAAATGTTACTGAGAAGTGTTGAGAAGTTACACAATTCTCATTAATTGTCTGTTGCACCTTTTTGGTGTGCTATGCTGAAGTTCTACCACTGGTTTACAAGGTCTGTGCACACCTCTTCACTTTACCAAAAAATACTACCAAACAATATTCACGGTCTAAACTAGTGATCTTATTCGTACTATATGTCCCTTGAGTTCTTGGTGGAACATAGGGCTTCAGTAGCACGTCACCATTTCACTCTCTTCTCCCCAGTCTTTCCAACCTGGCTCCACCACTGCTCACAAGCTTTCATTTATTCCTCACACCATCTCCTCCATGTCACCCTCAGCTGGGACGCCCAACTCGTTTCCCCTTTGGCCTCCACTCGAGGACCTGGCCTGGTGCGTGATGTCCCCGAGTGGTCTTCTCAGTGTATGCCCAATCCATCTCCACTTCCTTCTGCAACTTTGTTCAGCGATAGCTTCTTGGTTGGCTCGTTGCCAGAGTTCCTTGTTGCTTATTCTGGCCATTTGGTCTTCAGTACCGAGTGAGCAAGCGTAGGCTGCAGATGTTGATGTGATGTTTGTGTGTAGTTTGTTGGAAATGTTTTTCGTAACGCGCCAAGTCTCTCAACCATCACATAGAAGCACTGACTGACATTAGTGTGGAAAATTCGGATTTTGTTCACGCTGTGTGCTGAGTGGAGTGCAGTAGATCTCCACACTGATTTCAGGTTAATGAAGACCTGTCTCGCTTTTCCGATCCAGGCTTCGACAACCTCATCTGCACCTCCACCTGTAGTCGAAACGATGCTGCCTTGCCTAGATAGGTGAAAGAAATTACTTCGTTTAGGTTTCTCTTGTTGCTGATTGGGTATCTTCATCGCCTCTGTCTTTTCTTCGTTCACTTGAAGTCCCATCTTCGCTGCCCTGCCTCTTCTGTCAACTTGTTGGTTTTTGTCTGTAGTTGTTGGAGTTTGTGCGACATGACAGACATAAATCATCATCGGTCAAACAGCTTATGCCCATCTTCTCTCTCCTCACAGTTTGTTGCATTGTCCAGCCCAGCCGAACACAATCAGGAAAATGATCAGTGGTAGTAGGTAGCCTTGTCTTACTCCTGTCTTCACTTCAAAGGCATCACTGAGTAGCTTTCCATTGTCAATCACTTGTCATGTAGCATCATACAGCTGTTGAATGAGGTTGATAAAGGTTTATGGCACTAAAACTATAGTGTTAAAGCAGCCGCCTGACAGATTACTTCTCGATAAACACTATCGAAGGCTTTTTCAAAGTGGATGAAGTTGAGATAAGGTAGAGAGTTGACTGCCATTCTATCCTCTGTTCTATGATGCGTAGCGTTGCAATTTGATCCGCACATGATTTGTTCTTCCTGAAGCCAGCCAGCCTGTTCCGGTCTTAGTTTTGAATCCAGAGCACTTTTAGTCTCTCCAGAGTGATACGGCCTAATACTTTGCTTGCTTGGGGTGGACAGTGATAGGAGCATGATTCCTCGCCAGTTCTTGCAAAGACTTAGGTCTCCCTTGTTTGGGAGTTTGACAAGGTAGATCTTCTTTCAATCAATGGACAGGTACTTTTCCTTCCTTCCTTCCTTGCAAACCTTCTGCAACAGTGGTGTGGTATGAGCATGTCCGCAGCTGGTGTCTCTGCACCTGTTTTCAGTGCTTCTGGAGGAATTGCACGTGGTCCTGCTGGTTTCTCGGATTTCATCAACTTTATGGCGTGGCGTTGAGGACTTCTGCTTTTGTCTAAGGGTTTGTGTTCACTGGTAGTTCTGTGGCATGTGGTTGTCGACTGAAGAGTTTTCTGAAGTGGTCAGCCCATCGTTTCCTTCGTTTCTCCTCTTTGGTGGTAACTAGGTTCCCTTCACCATCTTTCATTGGTTTCATCTGTGTTGATCTCTTCCCTCCCAGATAGACAGTGAGTGACCTGGTTATTTGATATAGTGTTATCAGGTCCCTGTCTCTCCTACCTGCAGCCTGTTCTGCTTAAGTTGTCAATGTGTCGTAGAAGTGTTTTTTGTGTTTGCGCTCACTCTTCACTTCATTGTGCAGTTAGTGCTGCATAGGTTGTGTTCATTTCCTCTTTTCGTTGTTCATCCCTGTACTAGACTGGTTCATTTTCTGCTTCCCCACCTTTTTCTCCCTGCTGTACCAGCTTCCATGTATGCGTAGAGACCTACTGCTTGTCTCGTCTCGTCTCGCTTCTTCTTCCTCCCTGAGACGGTTGTGCAGGTTTCCTTGCACATCTCTCTCACAGAGTTCTAGTGTTCTTCCACGTGGATTTCTTCAGGTATGTTGCTTAATGTGTGCGATTGTTTCCTGAAGACTGACGACATGAAGATGTCGTTTGTAGTTTCGTCCTTCAGTTCAGTTTCTATTCTGGGTGTTTGACTTGAAGTGTGGTCTATCATCACGAACTTCTTTGAAGTCTTTCAACTTGGTTTTGCAGGTAGGTTCGTTTCACTAGATGGTGAATGGTGTGAACCTACATCTGCTTTGCTTGTTGATGTGATCTTGTGTCCAGTAGATTGTGTGTGTCTCCACTTTCTTGATATTGAGCTGAAGTTGATGTGATTGATATTTAGTGTAGTGTGTCGATCTGTTGAATGGTGAAATGAAATCCATGTGGCTTTGTGAGTGACCTTGTGTTTGTACACACTACCTGACTGGAATCACCAAATGGTGGAATTCGCAGAAGTCTGCAAACAGTTCCTTATTCTCCCTCATCATTTCACCGAGTGCCTCTCGATCCAGGATGAGTTCTCTTCGTGTGTTGTCCGCTCGGAGTTTGGCATTCATGTCACCCACCGATTAGAAAGGATTTTGATGTGGCCAATTGGGGTGAAGTCTTGTCGAGTACTGATTGGAGTTGTCTGTAGAATTGCTCCTTCTTTTATTGATCTGCATAATTTGTAGGTGTGTGGCGTGGCGTGGCGTTGTATGATTTTGACTTTCCTTTCTTTTGAGTTGAATCTTGCTGTTATGGTCGTGACCCTGCATGACGAGGTTGGTTCCCATTTCATGAGAGCCTTTGATGCCGTTTGGGACGTCATGATAGTCATTTGAAAACTCAGTGTGCTCATTCGTGGTTGTCGTTTGGGTGAGAATATCGGAGTAGATTATTGACTGCTGTTCAGTTGACAGTTTGGAGAGTCCACTTCCATTTGATCTGCTTTCTCAGATTCTTAGCCGAGTATATCTGTGCCATATCTTCTTATCTCTTTTGCAATCTGGACAGCTTGACCAGCTAGCTAGCCAGCTTCAAACATTTGTGGGGATTCCATGTGCCTATGTTTACTTTCACTTTCATCAAGAGAGAGAGAGAGAGAGAAGACACATCGACCAATTAACTTCCCGAAGTCTTTCACGGACTGGTGTCATTTCGTCTGCTCCGATTCCAGCGAGGAATAAGTTTATTTTTTTTGTGCTTTGAAGTTTGTTTAACGATTGGATTGGTTTTACGGTAAATTGCCACTAGCCTTGACAGATATTTCGACATGGTTGATGATGTTTCATTTAAGATCACGCATTGATTTCTAGGCAAATGCATCAATCAATGAAAGTAAATCTTGCTAGCGACCTGTTTTTTGAATTGACTTACCCTCTATGTACTAAAGTGCTTCTAAATATGTATGTCACTTAGAAGCAGTCAGTTTTATGGCAGAACATCTGACCGAAAATAAAGTCGTTAACTTTTCGCAGTGATGAAGCTTTCCCATTCTAATGACTTGCTGCATGTGTTGGCTAGAACACTTGTTGCTTTAGATCTTAACATGCTAGAAAGACCAGCTGGAGAGTTTTAAAACTGAACGTAGCGAATCTTTGCAATTAACTTCACTTGACCATAACAGCAATTGGATATCTCCTAAGGATAACTAACATTTCTAGTAACACTTTGCGGTATCAAAAGAATCATTTAGGAGATCAACACTGAAAGTTGCACCGTTTTAGTCCAAGGAGTTTCAATTGCTAAGCCAACCCTGTTAAACGTGAATCAATAGGCTCCAAGTAACCAGCTTCAAGCAATTCCACTCCACGCAAGTTAGTTCCCACGATTGGCTGTCATTTCTCCAAAAGACATATGACAGGTGACCGAAACTTTTTGAAATTAAGGTGTAAATAAAATCCGACTCAATTCATATTTACAAATGAATCAGTGTGCTAACTAAAAGTGGCGTCTTAGCTAATACTAATTACGTTCATCATTCTTACACTGTGTCAATGTCCATTTTCTGCTTATAAAGACGTATTATTTTAGTTATACTCTGCCATAATATATTGTAAGACAGGCAAAACAATGTGAAAAGACTCATAGAATTCGATCATCCAGACCAGCATTAAAAGAGAAGGCTAAAAGAAGTACAGTCATTACCTTCCAATCCCATTTTGTGGTATATTCCAAGTCACATCAATGAGGTTCCCGAATGTTTAGTCACTAGCATCTGGAGGACTATGTGAGTATGCTGGATCTTTACACATTCTATTGGAGGTTATATAA